GCTATTATAACAAAGGATCGGCTCTGTTTATCATAACAAAGGCCCGGCTTCGTTTATTTGAAGGCCTCGGCGGGAAAAGGGCGTTAGGTATTTTAATCAGAAGTGAACTTTGTCGAAAACGCTCCAAATTTCGCATGCAGTTTTGTTTAGGTATGTTTAGCAATGTCCCGCAGTTTTTCCGCTAAGCTTCCTTTCGTTTTCGAGATATTGTGTATGCAAAAAAACCACTCGGTTTTCCTAGCGTCGTCTTCATAAACGAAGCAAAAACCAGCGAGAAAAATACAGGACCACGTTTTTCTATTACATTGAAGACCACATGCAAAAATTCAAGCCCTTTCGCGAAATTTTTTTTTTCACCCAAATCGTCACTTAGCATGGTTTAGCACTCACCCCTTCAATTACAGACCTCCACTCAGTCCTAGTATCATTACTGATTAGTATTCTTTGTACACATGACATATTAGTGATTAGCCCATGAATAGTTAACTTACTGGTCTCATAAAGGAGTAATACTATCAAACATACCTCCACAGATTCCAGAACCTCTGGTTCATCGTCAAAATCCCCTGCAGCATCCAACATTTTTTGGTCTTTCCTGTTACGAGCATTATCAAACATGTGAATAGAATAAACAGTGTATCAAGTTCACCTTTAATGACTCCCTGCAAGACTGCACCATATTACATGATGACGTATATATATGCCGTTATATAGTGATGGTAAAACATTTTTGGAAAGGACAAACATCTGTCCTCTGCCTTGTTGATGGATTCTTTGAGTCCAATTGCAACTTTCCATAGCGTTAATCAACATTTTCCTCAATTTATATAGTAGTATACAAAGCATTCAAGTTCCACACAAACCTATCCCAAAGATAAATGTTGTATCTTGGTACTGAGTTAATCATTCAAGACCAAAAACACTCTAAATCAGATTAGAGCAGGTAAGGTGGGTAAAGCCCTGGCCAGTTTCTATAACATAAAGCAACTACGGGTATTTCTACTCCCCTCTAGATGCTAGCTAGTCTACACTGGGATTACTCTCTGCATTTGATTTGTTAGTACATACCACTTGAATATAAGTTTATGACCAACAGCAATGATTCTCGTACTCAAACCACCGGTAATTTGTGTTTGTTGATAATCGCTCAGCTTATAGCCGATTATAAACATTCAATTGAAACTCTTGCAGCATTAGAAATTTTTTTTTTGCAAAAATATTCTGCTACAGGCCGACCCCCCATCTTGTAGAGATTTCACTAGTTCCCAGTTTAATTTGGTGCAAAAATTGATCGGCTTATAGGCGAATAAATACGGTATTTATACACCTTTGTTTTCAAAAGGGTGTTGTGCAAGTCTTTCCCAGCACAGGAAGCATCAAATGAAGGTTGTGCTCTACACAAGTTTACCTTTCTAACTTTCTTCTGTCCAGGTTTTTCTTAGAGGCAATTGCACTTTTGAGACACTCCTGGAAATATACCGCAAATAGATTAGCCAACTCTCTGCGGTCTATGTGGTTGCACTGATATCACAGATCATGTAACAGTGAATGTTTAATCCCATGTTATAGTGTTTGAATTTAACTATTTAACTAACAACTAACTAAAAGAAGAACAGTGTCCCCAAGATTCATTTAACAAAAGCAAGGTAGGTGTATGAAAAGGCTAGGGTCAAATTTGAAATACCACAAATTGAGGCCGAAACTGAAATTCTCTAAAGACAAAGTTTATTGGACTCAAAGGCCTCCATGTAGGTCACTTTAATCCTGTGATTCTTGTCAATAATGGGGGGTTGAGCACACATCTTTTACAGTACTCTTGGCCACATATCAAGGAAGGATAATTTCCAAGCATTACAAGGAACACTTTCATAAAAGTTGGCATAAACTTGAAAAAAAGTTGGGCCAATGCTTTTCAAGTTTATCCTTGTGCACTCAATTTCAATCTCCTTCTGATTTCGCCAATCCATGCCCTTTGTGGCTTTCTTGTGTTTATTTAGAGTTTGTCTACAATTTCAATCTGTTAAATTGTATTATTTCTGTTAATTCTATCACCAGTTATTAAGAGTTGAAATTGCTTAAAATTGTGTGGTCAGCATCTAGCAGCCCCTTTAAGTATCATAGCTTTCATTATCTAGCATATCATACCTACAGATATTTTGAAAATAAAACAGATATTTTCTACATCTAGATGGATATGTACATACAGTGGGAGTGTAAAAAAGTTTACATTGAGGTGGACAAGAAATATAATATCAAAAAGTGAGCTTGTAAGGTCAGAATAACAGTTATTGGTGAGAACTGTAAGTGTAAATACCTGTATAATGGTGAAATGTGAAATATTTTGCATTGACTGAACAGTCCTAGAAGAATAAGCACAAAAACACACCATTCAATCATTGAATTTGCTTTTAAGTAGGAAATTTGCTTGCAAGGTATTGTAAGTACAGTCATGTTGACTACATTACATCACATGGACTAGCCCTTTTCCCAAATGACTTGAAAATAACAGAATTCTTGTTGTAGCTTAACCTACATTGCAGTTGAAGGTCTAAGGTTGTGAGAGTGTTATGGTATGTACATGTCAGGTCTGCAATACAGGGCTGTAACCAGTAACACCTGTTATAGTAGTGCATACTTGATGGGCCCTCCATCTTACTGATGAACTTGCCTGCTGTTAATACAATACACCCAGAGAGAAATAAGTTTGTTGCAGATGTGAGAATCAAGGTGACAGGTGACTTAAACCTCTATGACAGCCCTACTTTGTAAGGGTACATGTAGATGTAATAAGGTATTACAGAGTTGACCGAGTTTTTCATCTGACATAACAACTCTTGGCTTGAATTGCATGTGCATTGATACATGCCAGTAGTTAAATCATAACATTGTGGGGCAGTGTCAAGCAACAAAGTGATGCTGGCCACCAAGTCCCTAAAGCAGGCACTAACTCAGAGTCCAACATGCAAACCCTTGTCTATAAGTCCTCATTTCCTCCTTAAATATACAGTCATGTTATAACGCAGTGAGACTCTTTGCTTAAGTCACATACAGTTATGTGCATAACAGTAAGGTAATGGCTGCATACTTCAGTGAGTACTCAACATCGTATGATATTCCTTGAACTTTCTTGTGAAGACTTTGCATCTCAATCTATGTGGCATCAACAACAAAAAATACATTTAATGGCTTACATGGTACATGTATATCCCAAACAAAATGGTTTAATTCATGTACATAAGAGTCAAAATTCTTAAATAATATTTTAAAATGAGTGACATCTTCACCTGGTTGCATTGTATACATGAGGTATTGTGCTATTAAAATTTAGAGCATTATCTGCATGTACTCTGTACATACACACATCATTCATTTCATACACTGTATCTTTGTTAGCAAGGAGGTATTACCAGTAATCCATTTTATTGCCATGTACTAGTGTCTACACTTTTGTTACAAGGAAAACCACTGATTGGGAATAATGCTATAAATAATTATTACACCGTGTACATGTACGTTTATATTAGAACACTCAGCTGAAGATTTGATTTTGGTTGGTCAAAAGCACTGCAATTGAAGGGGAGCCTGGAAAAAAGCCCCAAGTGACTTCAGATAAATTTCTAGATTCTCCTAACAGATTGCCTTGTATTCTGTTGTGAAACAAGGAGAGTTTGATGTTACATCAACAGTCCCTTAGGGCCTTATTCTGTGCGCCCCTTCAATTAATCTTAGATGGCATTTGGTTTTACATGTAAGTAGTAGTACCTATTACAAATCTAAGTTTTATTGAGTGTAATATAAAGTTGTCAAAACATCATTTGCAAACAGGATGAGGTAGTGAAAATGAAAAGGGTTTGGAAGGTCTGGAAAAAGGAGCTTTAACTCTCTTTGAGGCAACCTGCAAACAAATTAACATCCTACCTTCTTGTCAACAAGCTGAGGGAGTGATCTTCTGACATGTTCTTGCATTCTGTACAGCCCAACTGATGGTTCATTTAACATTGTGTGAATGTTCTCCAGAAACTTTTCTGTAACTGAGGTATAATGATACAGACACATTTAAGCAAAAGAGGTTAACCTGAACCTGATACAAGCTCCAAGTTCTCCTAACAGCAGTTCAACCAACATGTAAAGACCAGTTACTGGATATCAACAATACATTTGTATGTTTAAAAACCTTCCACTCAATCCGTTGTAAGGAAACATAAGCACAAGCCTAAGGTTTTCTAATGTATTCATAAATAATTCAAAGCCATTTACTAAAGGCAATCAGTCAGCGACCTTCAATACACAAGTTGGATGCTCTATCACTATGGCAAGACTTCATTCAAATGCATACAACTTCATTAAATTTAGTAGGTGTCACTGACTAGCAATCATCTTTCACATTTTGCTACCAAGCTTGACAAATAGCACAATACTGTTTTCCATACCATACATGTACCTTGGTAACTCCTGTATCAATCATCAGTAGATGTGTATACTGGGCATTGTGAGAAATGCAGTGGCCTAATGGTTTATGCTGAACTCTGGCTTCAGAGGTCCAACATAGTTTCTTGCTTTGTCTAGAGAATTCATGTTGAGTTTATTGGCAAGTTGTATACTCTAACAGTGCTTCTCGGCAACTTGCTAGGGGTTACACATGTATACCTGTACACATGTATGATGGAGTAGGCCCCCTTCCATAGGATTATGTACCCGTTGTACACAGCAATTCTCCCCGTAGCTTTAAGCTATGCAGTAGAAACTGGGGATACACTGTAATAATTATAAATACCAGTATTCTCTACTCTCCCTTCTCTCTTAACTCCATGATGGGTAAGTCAGCTTAGGAAATTATGAATGAATATTGTTGCAGGATCACTTGTTCATAAGATCCTTGGATGACCAACAAAGTATTAGAAGCTGACATACCTCTCCTTAATTTGTACTCTGTTTCTTGATTGCTGAACTCCACACTACCCATGTCTACTGTAAATTGAAAGCACCCCATTAATGTCACCATTCTACCCAATGAATATTTCATGTCTAGAGATGTACACAAAAGAAAACTTGACACATTTGGAATAGCACCCAAAGTTCTCACGGTAAAATAGGCAAGCAACATATCAGGCCAAACCATGGATGCTGGAAATCTTCAGCTACTGCTGACAAGCTCTACTGCTCTCCAGGACATAATGCCATACCTTTCTCGACACCACTGAAAATTATATTTTACCAAGAGACTATGATCAGTCGTATGATTTTACACATTCAGCAAAAACATCATTTGTTTTTTGTTTATCACATCCGAGTCCCCATGTCCCCACTTCCCCAAGTTCCCATGTCCTTGTATCCATGTCCCCGAGTCCACATGTCCCTGAGTCCGACATCCCAGAATCCAATGGCCACATCCCCGTCCCCATCCCCATGTCCCTGTGCCACTCTTAGTCATGGCCCTGAAGGTATATCCCACAGGTATATGCAGTGAAGCTTATTAAAGGCAAAATTTCAGTAAAACTGAATAATACGTACTTCATGTACAGTACTGTACATCAAATGTCAAGCTACAGATGACCTGTGCATGAATACCAAAAAAAGGTCGCCCAAGTCACCTTTGAATTAGGCTTGATCATCAGCCTCTGTTTAGAGCCGGAACTCCAGATAGCGGCCAAAGTCAAACACGCTTAGACTCTGTGCCTTTGATTCTGTTTTGGTCATCAGAGTGACTTTTCCGCCTTATAAACTGACCCATCATGATTATATTGGTTTTAATTTCTCACCTTGCTTCCCCATATGAACCATGTGACTGTCTAACATGGCTTTTGCAGTGTAAATTTCACTTATACCAGCCATTTAATTACTGAAAACTCGCGGCAACACACACCGCACCGCCATTAACCTTCACTGTCAAGTTGATACTTCATGACTATTTGCCCCGCGGTGTCTCGCAACAAGACGAGGCTAGTACCCAGTTCAGGAGGGAGAGGTCAACTTTGCTTGGGTTGCCATGCGATTGCGCGCCCGATGATCTTGGCCATTATGA